TGATTGTGATACTGATCACTCCCTGGTGTGTAGTAGAGTAAAACTGCGAACAAAGAGAGTATATCACACGAAAAAGGAAGGAAGACCACGTATTGACATCAGCAAGACTCGCGATCAAAGAAAAGTGAAAGAATTTGCCCAAGCACTTGAGGAAGCCGTTCCAGGACTGGCTACTGCAAATGCACCTGAACGATGGGAACACTTCAAGAACACTGTCTATAACACCGCCTTGTCCACCTTTGGCAAGAAGACCCAAAAGGTGGCTGACTGGTTCGAAGCCCATTCAGAGGAGTTAATGCCAGCCATCGAGGTTAAGAGAAGAGCACTAGCAGCATACAAAGCCTGTCCTAGCGAGTACAACTTGCAAGCTCTTCGAGCTGCTCGCAGCCAAGTCCAACAGGCTGCCAGGAGATGCTCCAACGACTATTGGCTCCAGCTCTGCTCTCATATACAGTTAGCAGCGGACACAGGTAACATCAAAGGAATGTATGACGGTATCAAGCAGGCCTTAGGTCCAATACAGAAGAAATCTGCTCCCTTGAAGTCTGCTACAGGTGTGCTCATCCAGGACCGAGCACAGCAGATGGAACGCTGGGTACAGCACTACTCTGAGCTATATTCCAGAGAGAATGTAGTAACCGAAGAAGCATTAAATAACATTGAGTGCCTACCTGTCTTGGAAGAGCTGGACAGCGAACCAACCCTAGCAGAAATAAAAGCGGCCTTGGACTCCCTCGCCTCCGGCAAGGCACCTGGAAAGGATAACATCCCTGCTGAAGTGCTGAAATGCTGTAAGGAGATCATCACCACTGAACTGTATGAAGTCTTTTGTCTCTGCTGGAGGGAAGGTGGAGTACCACAGGACATGAAGGATGCAAACATTGTCACATTGTACAAGAACAAAGGAGACAGGGGTGACTGCAATAACTACCGTGGCATCTCTCTTCTTAGCGTTGTAGGGAAGCTGCTTGCCCGTGTTGTTCTGAAGAGGCTCCAGGTGCTTGCAGACAGAGTCTATCCAGAATCACAGTGCGGATTTCGAGCTAATAGATCCACCACTGACATGGTATTCTCCCTCCGACAGCTGCAGGAGAAATGCAGGGAACAACAACAGCCGCTCTTAGTGGCCTTCATAGACCTTACAAAAGCATTTGATCTGGTTAGCAGGGATGGCCTTTTTAAAATACTTCCCAAGATTGGATGTCCACCTCGTCTCCTTAACATCATCAGATCTTTCCATGAGGGAATGAAAGGCACTGTAGTTTTTGACGGCTCAACATCAGACCCCTTTGACATCCGAAGCGGAGTGAAACAGGGCTGTGTCCTCGCACCAACACTTTTTGGGATCTTTTTTGCTGTCATGCTGAAGCATGCCTTTGGAACTGCAACCGAGGGTGTCTATCTCCGGACTAGATCAGACGGAAAGCTCTTTAATCTCTCCAGATTGAGAGCGAAGACCAAAGTCCAACTGAAATGCATGCGGGACTTCCTCTTCGCAGATGATGCAGCCATCGTTGCCCACTCTGCTGAAGACCTCCAACAACTCATGAATCGTTTCAGCAAGGCCTGCCAAGACTTTGGACTAACAATCAGCCTGAAGAAAACACAAGTCATGGGCCAGGGCGTGGACTCACCTCCTTCCATTACCATCTCTACACAAGAATTGGAGGTTGTTCATGACTTTGTGTACCTTGGCTCAACCATCTCTGACACCCTCTCTCTGGATGTCGAGCTGGATAAACGCATTGGCAAAGCAGCCACCATGTTCTCTAGACTCACAAAGAGAGTATGGCTCAATAAGAAGCTGACGACACATACAAAGATCCAAGTCTATAGAGCCTGTGTCCTAAGCACACTCCTGTACTGCAGCGAGTCCTGGACCCTTTGTGCACGGCAGGAGAGGAAGCTGAACACGTTCCATATGCGTTGCCTCCGATGGATTTTTGGCATCACCTGGCAGGACAAAGTCCCAAACAGAGTAGTCCTAGAACGAGCTGGAATTTTCAGCATGAATACATTACTGAAACAGCGACGTCTACGTTGGCTTGGGCATGTCGTGAGAATGGCTGATGGTCGGATTCCAAAGGACCTCCTGTATGGAGAATTAGTGCAGGGAAATCGCCCCAGAGGGAGACCACAGCTGCGATACAAGGACGTCTGCAAGCGAGATCTGAAGGCCTTAGGAATAGACCTCAACAGATGGGAAACCCTGACATCTGAGCGTTCAGCCTGGAGGCAGGCACTGCATCGTGGCCTCTCCCAATTTGAAACGACCCTTGCCCAGCAGGCCGAGGCAAAGAGGAAATCACAAAAGCAGCAAAACCAGGGAGCTGGACAGGGGACAGATTGGATTTGTCTCCAGTGTGGAAGGGATTGTCACTCTCGAATTGGCCTCCTCAGCCACACTAGACGTTGTTCCAAGTCCTCCATACAGAGCACGCTACCATAGTCTTTCGAGACTGAAGGATGCCTAACTAACTAACATAAAATATGATGACGTATGATGAAATCTTACCGCTCAGTTTCAAATAAGGACAGAAAGGAATTAAATTTTTTTTTTTAGGAAATTTAAACTGCAAAGGGGCTGTGCCTTTGTCAGAGAGACCCAACGGCCCTTCCTGACCATTCACACCATCAGCTGTGCCCCTTTGGGAAAGCTCTCGGGCTCCTCCAAGGCCACTGAAGGTCAACAGGTTCTCCCTCTCCCTTTGCCAAAGGGGCTGTGCCTTTGTCAGAGAGACCCAACGGCCCTTCCTGACCATTCACACCATCAGCTGTGCCCCTTTGGGAAAGCTCTAGGGCTCCTCCAAGGCCACTGAAGGTCAACAGGTCTACACACACCTCCCATGGACATCCACAGCACAGGCGGGCCTTTGGGAGGAACGTGGCACCCTTGCAGGGCAGGCCTTAGGGAGGGAGCCACGGAGGGAGTGGCCCAGGAAAGGCCCCGGCTGACAGAGCATTGCGGCAGCTCAAGAGAGCCAGAGGGCAAGGCAGGACCACCGGCCCAGCGATGAGCTACCACGGAGGGTCGAACGACGGGCAGGCTGGTCCTGCTCTGAGCAGGTTGGAAGGGGCTTCCTCCTGCTCTGCCTGCCAACAGGATTGTTTTCCCCAGCGTTTCCTGTGGAAAGCGCAGGTGAGCACCTTGGAATGAAAACTGTGGCTCTGGATACTGAGGGAGGGGGCCCTTCCAGCAAAGGCTGGACCTTGCCGGCAGCAGAGGCCTTGCTTTGCAGGCGGAGGGGAGGGCGGCTGGGAAAGGAATCTGGAAGAGCTCCACCTGACCCAGACCTTCGCTAGCCAGTTTGCAACTGCCGGGGGGGGGGCACTTGTGGGGCCTGACCTCCCTCGGTGGGGAGCCCAGGAGCCACCGACCAGATTTTCCTGAGATCCACGTCTCTCTCTGCTGGAAAACAGAGACCAGGGGGAAGGGTCGGCCGCCCATCCTGGCCAAGGGCTCTCTCTGCTCAGCGCTCCCAGGAGCCCAGAACCAGTGGCTCAGCTGGAAGAGACCCCCCCCGGGGGGTACAGAGCCCGCCTGCCCTTCACCGCATCAGGAAATCTACAGCAAGGGAGTAGCCTATGATTAAAGAAATGTCGGTGGGCCCACAAAGGCTAGCCGAGAGCAGAGGTCAGGGGTCCCTTCCCATGGCTGAGTCAAGGGTGTGAATATTGTAGGTGGGTGTGGGTGTGGGTGTGGGGGAGAGGTCCTCTGGAGGGACAGCGGGACAGCCATGAGATACAAAGTCTCTCTGCTTCCTTGTTGAGAACGCCCCTCCCCACTTCTGCACCCTTCCCTCCTCAGTTTTCCATTTCAAGGTGACAAAATTCAGGACCGGGACTGGATCTCGCCCCGGCCACCGCCCCCCCCCTCGGCTTGCACACCCCACCCTGGTTCTTCTTCCTTCCAGACCCCCTTCTTCCTCACCCCCTCCGCCGATACCCTCCTGCGTGCCAAGGGAAAGAGGGCTCGGCTGGGCAACGGCCTCCGAACCGACCCACCACTGAACGATCGGGGAGGCAGCCGAGTGGCAATAACCCACATGGCTCTTGGCCAGATCTCTCTCGGTGCCCCCCCCGCTTCCCCTCCCCTTCCCACGGCCTGCCTCCAGCCACCTTCTTCTATCTCTGTTTGATTTTCCGCATGGCTGGTAGTGAGCAGCCACACGTGGCGTTGGCCGTTGGAAAGCCACCCGAAGACAATCCCTGCCCCCCCCCCCGGTCGCTCAGTTAAGCAACAGAAGTGATGGACTAGCTTATCTTGATGCACCTCTTTTCTCTGCATGTTCAGTTCTTTCCTCTCTCTTTTTTTTTCCTGACCCCCCTGGCAGCCTCCGTTGTGCAGGAGGAGGCTGTGTTTTCCTGGGGAATCCAGAGGCCACCGTCTTAAACCACGCAAGAGCCAGCCCGTGGGGAGAGAGAAGAGGGGGGCTTGGGAAGGCTGCCCTCCTGCTAAACCAAGGGAAGGGAGCACAACTCCTCACCCCATCATCCTTTGCAAATCTGCACTTAAGCACAACAAGAAGAGGCCACGAGGGCTGCACGGAAGGCAGTGAGTCCACCTGGAGAGGACTGCCCACCCCCCTCGGCTCTCAGGCCTGGAGGGGTCAGTGGGTGGAGGTGAGCTCCCTTCCAGCCTTGGGCGCGGGATGCCCTCTTGCAAGCCGTCCCTGGGAGCACGTGGGAGCCATCAGCCCCGCCTTTCTCCCTAAGCATGGGGGCACCCTTTGCCCCAGCTGGCCTGACCCTCCCTGTTGGGTAGTGGGGGGCCCTTTCTGTGGGGGCTGAGGAGGATAGAGGTCAAAAGACACAACGGACAAGAGCGACTCAG